TTTGGTGAACTAACCCTTTAATATTATATTATCTGTAATTTACAATTTTCTAAAATATATACTTTTAAGAATCAAAGTACAATGTGTACAAGTGCTCAAATGTTTTTACTTACATCTCATCATTGTCCAAAAACCACTAATACAGTCATTTAGAAAAGTAATAGCACAACTTTTTTGAGGTATTATTCGTGATCGTAGCATGCGGGATTAGTCACTATAAGCATGAGCAATATTAATAGTGATGCTTGACTTATCGAACAAAAATAATGCTTTCCATTCGGTTTCAAAGACACACTCTGTTTCCCATTAAAGTGAAAGGCCAGCTGCTTTACCTCGGAGGCCAATCAGAGTGCTTTCATTTGCATTAACTATGACAGAGGAAAGCTGCTTTGATATGTCGGCGTAGCGCACATGCTAATGTCGTAGCCGCGGGCGCTTCAGACACACCGTGTTTGGGCTGTGTGGATCCCATTGATGTCGGTTTCATTTCAGGCTGGGGGCAGCAACACTTTGTATTTGTTCTCACACAGTCATTAAGTCACGTAGGACTCTTCATCTGCAGGTTTCCCTCCAGCGACGGCAGCCACGCGCTCGACCTCTGACCTCAAGCATCGACCCGTCACATCCTCCAGGCTTAAAGTAGGATGGACCATGTGGTGGAAAGTTCTTTCCAAGTATGTTCTGTGCAAATTTCGTGTTTATGTGTGAATGGGTTGTGGAACGGGCATTGAGAAACAGCTTGGATGACACTCCCAGGGCATCAGTGGAAGATGTCACACATTTCTCACACTGGTTTTATTCTTGCTCAGTTTAGCACACTGCCAAAGCCAAGATTTTGTAATCTTTCAAAATAGCAGAAGGTTTGATTCCAGTCGTTGTTGGCAGCGGCTCGAGTGTTGCCTCAGTCTGTGTGTAATTATATCTTGGCCGTGGTGTTGCGCTCGAAACATGCCAACGCAAGCACCCGTGAGGTCTCCGATGATATGGCCCGTATCATTCAGATCAGAGAGTGTTACAGATATGAAATTAAACAAACTGGTACCAAAAAAAAGTTTCTGTCCAGAACTGAAAGCCCAGGTTTGAATCCGTTGCCGAGTTTGATTCCAGCTTGTCCAGAAGGATGTTTTCAGCATCCATGGAAAAGTTTATTTCATACTATTAGAAACATGTTTTGCATCTGCCATGCTGAGTACTGGCCAGACCCCGGCGCAGGAGGTGTTGTATCTGAGCGTGGGTCGCGTGTGTCTGCAAGCCCTCACGGACGAGTCCTGGGCTTTACGGCAGAGTGGTTTTCCAGAGGTGATGAGGACTGCTGCGGTCTCGGGTTCGTCCTTCGGGGATTTGCACATTCTCTGCACTGTGTCACAGACACAAAGCCTTTAGCGGAGTGTAAATTCAATTCTGAATGGCTACCCTAGTGACAAAATACTCTATTTAAGCACAATTTATTCGTATTTTTTAAATTTATTGTTGAGAGGAAAACCCTTTGAGATGTGACATCTCGTTTTCGAGGGGACCTCAAGAAAAACATACTTCACATACGTACATACTAACAGAACAAAGATAAAAGCTCTCCATCACACCAAAACCACCCATATCGTCAAATGAAAGAGCAAATCATTTGTTCTTAAAAGAATGCTGTGGTCAATTGTGTCAAATGCAGCACTAAGATAAAGTAAAACTAATAGAGAGATACAACCAAGATCGGATGATGAGAGCAAATCATACAGTCACAAATTATCTCTATTAGTGTTACTCGATCGTAGTGCTGTATTTGATACTATAGACCACAACATTCTTTTAAATAGACTAGAAAACTATGCTGGCATTAGTGGAATTGCATGAGCATAGTTTAAATCACACTTATCTGACCGTTATGAGTTTGTAGCAGTAAATGAAAAGATGTCTTATAAAGTTCAGTATGGCGTACCACAAGGCTCAGTACTAGGACCGCTGCTGTTCACGCTGTACATGCTGCCATTAGGAGATATCATTAGGAAACATGTGCTGATGATACCCAGCTGTATATTTCTTCAAAACCTGACGAAACTTACCAATTCACAGAATTAACGGAATGCATAACTGATATAAAAAATTGGATGACTAGTAATTTCCTACTACTTAACTCTGAAAAAACAGAGATTCTAATTATTGGACAAAAAACTTCCTCACGTGATAACCTAGAATGCTGTCTAACACAGGGGTCTCAAACTCAACTTAAAGGGTTAGTTCACCTAAAAATGAAAATTCTGTCAGTATTTACTCACCCTCATGTTGTTCCAACCCTGTAAGTCCTTCGCTCATCTTCGGAACACAAATTAAGATATTTGAGATATTAAGATCGCTCCTGCATACTAGTCCATAGGCTTCTTGAGGGAATGACTCTTGCTGGCATCAAAAAGTCATTAAAGACATCGTTAAAATAGTCCAAGTGACTACAGTGGCTCAATTTTAACTTTATCAAACGACGAGAATACTTTTTATGCGCAAAAACAAACAAAAATAACGACTTTATTTCAACTATTCACTTCCTTCTCCATGGGCCTGTAGTCAGTTAACGTAGTGTGATAGCGTAGAGCTACGTCATACGTAGGCTCTCTATTGGCCGACGCTGGTCATGTGTGTGATGCGTGTGACGTACAATAACAGAAGCTTACGCTATTAAACTAGTAACCTGACTCGCGCAGAGGGAGAAATAAACGAATAGTTGAAATAAAGTCGTTATTTTTGTTGTTTTTTTGCGCACAAAAGTGTTCTCATCGTTTGATAAACTTAAGATTGAGCCCCTGTAGTCACTTGGACTATTTTAACAATGTCTTTAATGACTTTTCGAGGACAGCAAGTCATTCCCTCAAGAAGCCTATGGACTTGTATGCAGGAGCGATCTTAATATCTTAAATATCTTAATTTGTGTTCCGAAGATGAACGAAGGTCTTACGGGGTTGGAACAACATGAGGGTGAGTAAATACTGACAGAATTTTCATTTTTGGGTGAACTAACCCTTTAACTGGGGGTATAGTATTTAAGTATTCCAAAAAAGAAGCACAACTGATCCAATCTTCTTAACCCGTATTATTAACATTTCTTCTGAACTGTTCCTTTGAAGTTGAACATTCCTTTCTGTACATGATTGGTTCTTCATGAGCTGTCCTTCTGACAGTTGAAGTTCATTTTACACACTTTCTTTGTCTTTTCCTTATAACACATCTTTGTGATACTTATATTTGCTCATGTCCTTTTTAATTTTCTTTATACAACACATTAATGATATTAAATGTTTTTTGGAAGGAACATTTGGCCTTACAAATATATGGAAATACAAATATTTGCCATCATGTCTGCCCGTCTTATTGAATTCTTTCTACACATGTAGGGTCTCAGGCAAATTACTGACTTTGCACAAACCAAAGCAAACCTTCTTTTCAACCTGTTGGACACATATTACAAGCTCAAAATGATTATTCTCACATTTTTTTAGAGCAGGGGTTTCCAACACGTTGCTCGCGAGCTACCAGTAGCTCATGGCCTTATTGGTGGTACACATATTGCGCTCACATATTTTGCGCGCTCAAGTTCGTTATTTCAAATGTAGACACACGGCAAGCGTGCTCGTGATTGAAACGACGCACTCAGTTTTTCCAGGCGCAGTGTTTTCACACCACCATATGGAAAAAAGCGTCAAACAATCCCCACACACTAACATTGATATGGCCTTCACACATCTACAGGTTCATAAGATGAGTTGCCTCACTCGTCTCTCACTGAGACTGGAGCTGAGTGAGCATTATGAAGTGGGCTTGCTCTGTCAAAGCTTTCATCCAGTTAGTCTATATTATACAATGGGTGAATCTGTATTTGTAAAAGGTTTACTACTTAACAAATTAATTTGTAGTGTACTAAGCTTGTGCTTGATGGAAGCATGAAATAAATACATTTACAGTGTATTGCCAGTTAGTCTAGACAGTCTATGTATTTTTAGAATGGATTTGGTGTATCCCTAGAAGAAACTAAGAGTTACATTCATTTGAAGATGCCTGACGGAGGCTTACACAGGTCCTGATGGGTTTATACATGCATAAAAACACTTGCCACATCAGATTGCTGCTCTGAGATAATATTGATCATATCTTCAATCTTGATCCATTTTAAAACCCAAATCCAAACTCAGTTTCCAAACCCAAACCTGGAAACTGAGCCATATTTGACCAAACTATTACATCTGTCACATGTTTTATTCTGTACAAAATAAATATATCTTACAATTATATCAGAAAATATTTACTTTGAAGAGTAATAGATTCCAGCAGCTAAACATATGGGAGGGATAATAGTGGCCTACATTAAAGGAATCAAATCAAAACCAAACAAGCCTCATATAATCCGTCCAAATAGTCCTCTTTAAGTCCTTAAAGTGCCCCTGTAGTCAATAATTTATTCCTTAAAACTCATCTTTGATCCCCCATTTAAAAAATTTCTTCATGCCTCAAAGTATCTTGAATGTAACTTGACACCCTTGCTTCATTTAGTATTTGCGGTTCTATGAATATGTAAAAGGGGCCCCGCCTCCACTCACTCACTCAACTTTAAATAAAGTTATGCTTTCCCAGTACTCAAATTTCTCATTAATTTAAATGTTTAAGAAGTATTTTTATTGTTAGTTAATGTTAATGTATATCATTAACTAATTTAAAACAAATGGAACATTATTGTAAATTGCGTGTGAATTCGACATTTCACGATGATCAAGTTTGTAATATATCTCTTTCAATAATTTATGTCTGTTATTAAAGGAAAAACTCAATGTAGTAACGCAGAAGCTCAACGTCGGCCTCACTCCTAATGCAAGTGGATGTTTGTCAAGAATATCGACCTTTGAAACGGTGCATGTCTAATAATAGGAAGTCTATTTGAATGAATCCCTATTGCTTCCATCATCCAAAACAAAGAAAGAGTTTTTTTCCCCATCATTAAACAACGTTTTGCTGAAAGAGCTTTTCACCTCGCACGGAGAAGAAGTGCTTGCTGGGAGTGGTGAAGCCTCTTGTGCCCTGGCTGTTGACCGCGCTGACTCGAAACTGGTACCACCTGTGGGGCCGGATGTCCTTCAACACGGAGCGGGCCTCCATGGTCTGAAAGAGGGGTCAGAGAGACTTTAATTAAGACGAATCCGCTCCTGAAGAGCTCCATCACTGCGGTGCGCTGATAAGAGTGGCAGTAATGACAGCTCGATCCAGCGCAGGGAGATCTCTCTATAGAGCCTGTTGAAAAGCACAGCGCAAACGTCCCTATCCATTACATCACAGGTCCCAGCGGGAGCTCAGGACGTGCACAATGAGCGGCCTGTTTCTCTCTTAACCTCCGAGAAGACCAGGCATCTTCAGAACTGCTTTAGCGCTTATGAAGAACAAACTCATTTAAGTGTGATTTTACACACACACAAAAAGTTATTTTCAATTCAATGTCAAATTACAGCATCTGACTTTAAAAATGAAAAATTTGACCTCAGTCATTGAAACTTGTACATGTATTTACACATATTTGTAATTACAGATTTGTAATCATGAAGTCGCAATTTAGTACATTTAAAATATAAAAACTTAAGGCCTGGTTTCACAGACAGGGTTTATATTAAGCCTTAGTTCATTTAGGATATTTATGTCGCTTTTTATAAATATGCCTTAGTAAAAACATTACTGGTGTGAATCTTGAGACAAAACAGTTAAATATTTTAAGATATTCCAGTGTAAGTTGCTCTCAGTTAAAACAGCTCAAACATGTTAGACTGAGACTGGAGTCAAGCCTTGTTTGTGAAGCCGGGGGTAAATGTAATACTGAATAACACACTACTATCAAATTTATAATCATATACTTTAAATGTGCTTTAGTATGTTAGTCAACACATCAAACTAAGTGTATGTCATGACAAAATATTATTAAAACAATGATTTAAAATGTATTTAAAAGTCAAACATTTACCTCAAAGTGTCTTAATAATCACATTCATGAAAGTGTCTCTCTTTAAGAGAACTTAGGTATCCTTTCATTTCATTAATACTATATTATCTGCAATTATAATTTTTTATAACAATTTTTTATTGTAACACTTTTCCACAAGGATACACTGTAAAAATGAATGCGCTTTATCTAATCAAAAAAAATGTGGCAACAGATTACAAACAATATTATTAATTCAATTTAACAATAGAATTGAGTAACAATTAATCAAATTAATTCCTTAAAAGTTAAACATTTAAAATAAGTAAAACGTACCAAGTTAACCAATTTAAGTCACCATTATGGTGATTGGTGTTTGTTTTAGGTTTGTTTTAAAATTACGATTTTCTCTTTCAGCGATTCTGCTTGTTAACATCAGGTGTCTTCAATGTTGGCAATATAAAATAAAGATAATATAAAATAATTAATTTTTGACGTCTGTCTGTTATTCAGATATTTTTGTTTACTTTTTTGGTGTAAACTTTACTAATTTTAAATGGTTAACTTTTAAGGAATAATTTCATTAATTATTACACAATTCTAATTTGTTCAATTTACTTAATAATACTGTTTGTAATCTGTTTCCACAATTTTATTCTAGTTCTTGGTTATAGTAGTGAGAGAGGTACAGATGGATTGCATCTATTGCTTCAGTCAGAATATTATAAACACTCTCTAAAGGCTTTAAACATCACAGAGCCATTGCTAATAAACCATATAATCATATAAAATAGTTCTACCTCAGTATACACAAAACAGTGTGTATGAATGTTATGGCCATTCACTTTATTACACATCTGTTAAACCTAATACAAAGGAGGTTTTCTCTAAGAAGAGTCCCTGAAAGATGTTATAAGAGGTTTGAAGAATTATGTGTAACAGTGGGTTTAAGATGTCCTCTACAAACCCCAAACCCACATGTCTTTACTCTGAATAAACTCGATGCTTAATCTTAATCACAGCCTTGTGTCTGTGAACATTTACCATGAGAACAGTCTGCCAGGCCGACGCGTCGTCCTCGCTGGGGTGAATGCCGTGATTCCACCTCCTCTGAAGAATATGAAGGACGGGCTCGACAGAAACGTTAAACTTGGACATCCACGTCACCTTCAGATGGCCCTGCTGGTCCTCTGAAAAGGAAATGTCTCTCCTTGGCTTCAAAGGGACTCCTTCGCAAAAAAAAACATAAAAAGTAAATGTGTTGGTTTTTCTGAATCAAGTGAAGATTGTTTGGCCAAAAATGGTGACAGTAAATCAGCTAATCGGGTCAAAATTACAACGGTACAACAAACAACAGTCGACACAGCTGTGAATTGAATTTGGCTCAAAGAAAAACAAGGATGTCTACGATGAAGGAATTCATCTAGTTTAAAGTTGCTGTCATTCTGTCATCATTTACTGACCTGTTCCAAACCTGTAAGACTTTATTTCTTCTGAGAAACATAAAAAATTTTCCCCAAACAATGGAAGTCAATGGGAACCGAAACATTCTTCAAAATATATTCATGTTCCACGCAAGAAACAAAGTCATACATGTTTGGAGGTTGAGTAAATATGACAAAGGAGAACTTATTGGATGGATTATGCCTTTAATGAGGCCCTAGTCTTTATTCTAGATCAAATTCAGTGACAATTTTTATTTTGAATCCACAATTTTGACCTGAAAGAGTCACGTAATGTTAATGTGAGTAACCCATTCCTCTTGTACCTCTGAAGAGGTTGGCGGGGGACTGGCAGGTGTGTCCACACCCATTAGAGCAGCACTTCTTGAAGCCGGAGCACTCTCGGTCGACCGCACAGCCCTCCACACAGGCAGCAGCGAAACCCGACGCCCGCTGGGCCAGAGGACAGTCGCCCTGCTTCTGGACCCGCAGCGAGCGCACAAACTCAGCACTGGTCACACACTCGTGATGCTTCTGGACAGCCGTACAGAGACAAGCAAATTTTACAAACAAATATTACAATATACATTACATTTGGACTAAATTGGATACTTGGAGAGATCGTTTGGAAATATTAAATATTACCCTTTGAACTCAGAATTTTATTTCCCTTTTAAACAATTTTACAGTATAAACCTGTTAGGATGGGATTAGTTTAACATGGCATTAACTTTACAATAACAGGGCATGAACAATCTAAATTTGAATTAAACATATGATTTAATACTGCCATAATTTAAATTGTAATAATCTGCTATCTGCATTTTTGTGACAAATAATTGGAATGGCACATGATTATTTAGCCATTAATTACACAGATCCATCTATATCCATCATAATAAGTACCACTACTAAATTTAAATCAATGATTTATATAGTTCATTTAGGCTTATGTTTAGTAATAGCTACTTTTCTTCCTGGAACTACAGTATACAGGTTTTGTTTCTGGTGGGACACTCATTAGTGGTCACTATGGTAATGCTAGCATTTTAATCGCATAAATGTTGACTGCTCTGGTAAACAGAATTAATAATTAAAGACCTGTTTGCATGTATGTTGTATTTGGGAATTTTCAGGAGGTTATGTACAATAATTAACTGTATTTTTTGTTGTTTAAATGTATATGCTTCGATTAGCATTAGCTTATGCCCTATTTTACATGTAAACATGTCTTATGTGTGTCTTTACAGGTACATATGATTGGCCTTTCCTTTAAGTCCATATATGTACAATTGTATAAATAAAAACAAAAGAACTAGATTTTTTTTGGACCATGGGTGTGAAGGAATAAGGATGGCACTCTTATTGTATATGTTTATTCATATTATAGTTAGATTTAGATTTGTGTCATCATTGCATCATTGGGCCATGCCTTAACTAGAGGAGGCACATCATAATTAATTCATTATTAACGAACCATTCACTAACATCAACAAATGGCTTGTTCATGCCTCATTATGTCATGGCTTTACTTAAGGGGGCACATCATTATTAACTCACTGTTATCTACTAACCAATTTCAGCTCATGATTTATCATAAAATTACATTTAACCCCTTAACTGTCACCCCCCCTTTTTGAGAATGGGGGTTAAATGCTCTATTCACACTTAAATGGTTGTAATTTAAGAATGCCTTGGAATATATACCCAAGTTTGGTCTTGTTTTAAAGAAAACACTCAGCAGATTATTGCTGAAGTGAAAACACTTCAAAAAATGAAAGTATGAAGAAGTTATGGAAGTTTTCATTCACAGTAAATCAAATATACTGTACTATATATTTTTTATTTTATATATTTTACAAAATATTTTTACTCTAAAATTACTATAAAATGAAAGCCATAAATCTAACCAAGTTATGTTCCAAATTTGAAGTTGATATCACAAAAATTGAAGTTCCTATGAGATTTTGTTTAGGCGTAGTACCAAAAATAGCCACCGGGTGCCATTGAATTCCATTGAATTTAGTTGTGTACATTCTGCCTTAACAAATTAATACATTTCTGTCCAAATATCAATTTTGTCACAAAATTTGGAACCTTCAGACTCAGACCTTTCTGACAATATGTGTTTTGTCAAGATTAATTAATTTTCATCATAAATTATGAAAAATAAGGATGCCCAAAAGGGGAGGAGCCTCATAAAATAAGTACCGTTTCTATGGTAACGCAACGTTCAATTATAAAATGGTTTTCACAGGATGAATTCTGAGTGTATAAGCTTTCAAATGATACCTAATTTATGATAACTACTAAAATGTGTGATATAATAAAAAAGGCGATAAAAATATTATTATATTTTAGAGGATAATATATACATATATATTATCATTTTTAGAGGATAATTTTATACTATACTTTTTATTTTTTATTGAAAAATACTAGATTATATGTTTTATTATGAACTTTTAGCATAAAAACAGAAGTTTCAATTATTAAAAGTGGGTGCATCAACTTTTTGTGACAAAGGTCAGACCTCCTGTTATGATGCAGATTTTCTTAGGTGCACTCTTGTCATAAATTTATTAATTACTCTTCCTACATAATTTTTAACACAAAACAGGCGTCAAATATTTAATTAGAAGTCTTAGACCTTTCCAAAAATATATAATTTGTCATAATTAGATTAGGATTTAATAGAAATATAGTGAAGTAAAGTTAGGCGTCCCGGTACCGGGACGGTGACAGTATACCCATGTACTAAAACTATTATTCAGCCCAGTTAAGTGATGTCGCGTGGTCCGAGAACGGAGGTAGAGTATCGTCATGGCCAGACTGAACTGCTGTTCCTCTGACCTTAGTTCATGTTTCCTGTTTGGCTATTCTTTTGGGAACCGATTCCTCAGGAACTGTTGTAAGTCACAAAAGGTTTAGTTTGATGGGAAAGACAATATCACAAAATAGATTTAAGATAAATTATTAGTGTATTTAGTATTTTCTATGTTTGATAAGGAGGATCAGTGAAATTAATGACAAACTAATCCTGTGCCTTTCAGTAATGTTTATGACGAAGCTGCTGATGTCAATAGTTTAAATTATGACTAATAAATTGTTTAAATGCGTTCCAAAGTCAAAATATTTCATATTTATTTTTACAGAGCCTGACTGATTTAGTTCACCCCTAAATATTAATTAATGCATTAACTATCAAACATGTACTGGCTGCTGTTATTCATGCATGAATCATGATGACTCCTAACATAGTTAAGGATCGCTCTTCATTGGTTCATGATTAGTTCATATCTTCACTAATCATGAGTTCATGTTGAAGTGACTATTAATTCAGCTATTAGTACATGATTATTCATGCCCTGTTATTGAAAAGTGTTACCAAGTCATTATTACCAGAGCTTCTCAGTGATTTTAGTGGCGTCCGAATGTGCCAACAATGTCAATAAAGATTGCAGCGACTTTTACCTTCTGGAAAAAGTGTCTGGAAAAATTCCCTCATGTAATGCTAATTCCTTGCGAGTAGACCCACTGTAAATATGTACTTAAATATTCCCTTATTTCCTGTTTAAAAGAAGCTTTCCAAAGTTTTTCAAGCATGGAGGCGCTTAAGAAACATTCAGTTGTGTTCTAGGTGGTGGGACGTCCGTGGGAAAACTCAAGTGTTTTCCACATACCATTCACATCAGAAAGAGCTTGTTAGAGGCACAAAACTTCTTTTAGCGTTAGGTTAGTGCCTATTACCAACACAATCCAATCTGAATTTACTTAATACACCGTTCGACTGGATCTAACTGCTTTATATATAGGTTATATGTGTTTGAGAATGTGATATCAGGAAGCAATAATATGCACACACTCTAAAAAATCTTGGGTTATTTTTTTTTTAACCAAAATCCTGGGTTGAGACTTTTGAGTCATATTTTTGGTCTATTTTATCAGTGTTTGGATAGTTTTTGTTTTTACCCAGCTCCTGGGTCAGAAGTAACAAGTGTGTGTGGAGTTGGTGTGGAGTATTTTTTTCTTAAAGTTTAGACTAGAGGATTTAAATTTACCCATAAACATTAACTCATGTATGAAGTGAAATGAATCAACCGATCATCCTGGGTTAAATAAACAACACAATTTGGCGGGGAAAATTAACCAAACACGTCTTCTGTCCTAGATTTACCCAGTCCTTGGGTTGAAAAGGAACTAAATTGGGTTGTTTTTAACTGTAAGTGTATTTTAGAGGGTGACAGAGTCGTGTAAATCGAATTACCCTTCCCACTTCTGCTAGTTTAACTGAGATTTCATATGAATAGGGCCAACGTCCCGGTGCTTCATATGTCAGTCAATCCCTGAATCTCTTTTGATTCTGAATAGCTAATATTGCTTCCTCCCACTCAGGTTAACATTTTATGCTGACAAAAGACAAAAATGCAAACCGCTGCTTGTTTTTGCATTAAATTCGGGAGAGGTACTGTATAGGGGTCTGTTCAATTCACTAACCTTAATAGCAAAAGTAACAGTGATGCTTGATTTAACACACACCACTAATGAGAGGCAGCTGGAAAATCAGGGAGTGACAAAAAGTGAAGGAAAGACAGACACCGAGTGGGACGCAGCGGTTAGACAAAGCCACCCACCAAAACATGAGGTCTCTGTCCCATTGTGTGTATGTACTGACTCACAGCTCAGCAGACACACACACACACATGTGGGACTGTGGAAACTTCATCTGCACAACATCTCCAAGATTACTCAACTCAACACTTCTGTCAGTCCCAACCAGGCGCATGTTTCTTCCATTGGGTGAATCACAGAATTGGGAAAACAACAAAGGGCTTCACTGCGTGTGTCTAAGTGGCAGTGAAGCATTCTGGGTACTTATTATAACCCGACGGGTCTTACGCACAGCTGAACCACACAGCACGTCTATCTGATGGACCTCAAGCGTTGAAACACTTCACGCTGACGGTTTAAATTAAAGCTTTGCTGAGATAATGATCGCTGAATTTCAACAAGATGTTAACAGTTGTTGCGCTCGCTGTGAAGAACAAAGGTCTGGCCGTAAATACGGCTCTTATCTGCTTCGCTTCAATAACGTGCTGATCTCGGCTGAGGGAAACGTAATCTATGTGTTCAGCTCTGGGGACACGGGATAAAAGGGCCATAAAATCACATCGGAATTCGGAGAGTCATTCGGTTTTCGCTTCAATTTGGACTCGCTTTATGCTCAGAAACCCACACGCATGCTTTGATTGCGGAGCGTGACTCCATGTGCCGTGTGCGGATTCAACTCATACAGGCGTACGCTCGTCTCAGAGGTATTGCCTGGTTTTTAATCAGAGAAACATCCTATGCAAGTAGCCTTTCCGTCACGGCTGTAACAATCCACAGTCGGCACAAATATAAGGCAGGATTTTAAAAGAGACTTACCTCGCAGGTCTTGGGAGACAGGGCTCGTCTTGTTTCCCATAATTCCTTGCATGGTTGTAGGCACTGCAGACAAACAAATAAACAGACCTGAGTATGGCCTATAGGTTTTAAATCCATGGAGAGACAGAACACACAAACATTTGCATGTGAGCACAAGGATTGCAGTGTCACAGTACAGCGGCCGCTCAAACTGTGTTGCATTGTGTAGAGCGCAAACTAATGTGACAAGCTGCTTGAAATATTGACAGATCGTTGAATATTTCATGGGTTGCCGTCTTGGGTCTTAAACTTGACCCTGTCGGAATGTTGCTAGATTCAAATACATATATTGTTACTACCCTTGAAACCGAATTGAATTATTTTCACTCACTCTTTCCCCATAAAAATGTAGCGCAAACACTCAACTCGTGAGTCATCGTGATATATTAAATACAGCGCATTGCGCAGGATCTGCTCATATCTGGCTTACTTGAACACACACGTAACAAATAATGGCGCACTTGATCATTTGCAATAAAGCAATGTCGAAGATTAAAAAGCATTTGGTTGACAGAAAAGACTTTCCGCCATTTTTCAATATCCTACATTTTTTGATGTTCTTTGTTCTGTATTGATCTGTCCACCTAAAACACATTTTTGGTGAAAGAGGAGGAGGAGTTGCTGATGAAAGGATTTTCAACAATAAATGAATGTATGAATTCCAAATTCCAAATATATATATATAGTAGAAGTTCTGAATGGCTGGTAACTTAAAAATATTGAGGCCAAATTGGTCCATGAGTGAAAAAGTTAATTTCAAACCTTGGATGTAATATTAATTATCTTGGCTTTGTTCTGATGTTTTACTGATTACAATGAAAAATGACGGAGATATATTGGATATTGAATGCAACATCTGGACAAACAGATTCAATTTTATTAAGTAGGTACAAAATGTGGTCAATCCCAAAGTCAATCCGAATCAAGTATGTTTTCCCTATAATGTAAGCTCTCCGTTCCCTGAGATGCTCCTGTCGAACCCCTGCTGGCCCGGACTCCAGTCGCTCATGTGCTGGAACATTCGCACACATCTGCTGTGTGTTACGTGATGGATTATTCTGACATCTGCCCCCATCTATCCCCCACCTGAACAGACAGCTTTCATTTGGCTGAACTCAAAGTCAAGTACGCACCACGTTCAAGAAAGAACAAAAGAACCTGAAAATAGGAGAGAAGAGAGACATGGAGTGAGGCTGGTTTCACCTTACTGCAAAGATAATCTTATTATCAAGGTAATCAAAGTCTAAATCAGTCATTCATACAGACTTCGATTAAAATGGAAACAAGGATTCTGTTCAAAAAATTGTCATCTCTTAAGATAAATAGGATTTGTTTTCGTTCTGGTGATTCTAATTGTCCAGCCAATGCCCATATAACTACAGACTGACCGTCTGCAAGAAGCAAAACAACCAAACTCATCCAATACTAATACTTTCCAAAACCAAAATATACCAAAATAAATTCTTCAGCAAAAAACATCACCCTGAATAACACTCAACACTTCAAATTATAATCAGGTACTTTACATGTTTTTTATGTTCGTCCACACTTCATAATAAGTGTACATCTTAAAAGCATGACAAAATAATTTAAACACTATTTAAAAGTATCTTAAAGTACTTGAAAATATTACAAAAGTGCACTTTTAAGAAACAGTCATGAATGTGGACTTAAAGAGCAGCAATTTATATTGTCTGCAAATACAGTATTTTTATATTATACTTTTAATAGTTGAAGTACACTACAAATGCATATTCAATACAATTAAGTACACTTGTTTTTCAAAATGACATTTGAAAGAATATAGATGCGATTTTCAGTTTGTTGAAAAATCTTCATCAGTATAGCTCCTGTGTGTCCAACCTCCATCTAATGACTGCTGACGCCCTTAACACAACATAAACACACACACACGCACACACACTCTCTCTCTTTCTCACACACACTCTGCCTGTGAGTCATCAATATGACAGCACACTCCTGAGAGGAAGGGGCTGATGGGAGAGAGCCAGAGGTCTGGACTGCATTACGGGCCGGCGTCTCCCTGCGTTTGGTTAACTACACACACACTGCGGCAGGGGGTCAGCACTGGGAGATCAGTAGCTGGGACACAGGTTATCACTGACTAATTTCCCTTTGGCATTACACACATGCGATTGTGGGATATGATGATGGATGAATGAGTCAAGCATCTGCTGCTTCTGTTTATAAAAGATCTCAACGAGACAGTGAAGTCTAGTCAAGTCAAGTCACCTTTATTTATATAGCGCTTTTTATAAAACAGATAGTATCAAAGCAGCTTCACAGTGATAACATGAAAATAATACAACACAGTTTGTTTCTAGAAGAAAATTGCATCATCGTCCACCTGATGTAAGGCAGATATTGCCTTAATATTGTTGAATATTAAATGTCCCCAACTAAGCAAGCCAAAAGTCAAGGCAACAGTTGCAAGGAACCAAAACTCCATCAATGTCAAAATGGAGAAATAAACCTTAGGAGAAACCAGGCTCAGTCGGGGGCCAGTTCTCCTCTGGCCAACGAACGATCAGTGTATGATTATGATCCAGGCATTATTACAGGTCAGGTCAGATTGGATCAGAACATTCAGAATATTAATCCAGTTCATCTGGTTGGAAGTCGAAGTCATCACACCGGTATGGAGACGAGATTGTGAAGGAGTGAAATCCTCTGAATGCAGGTTTACCTCACATTTAGGCATTTACAAGGTCAACTACTTAGTTTATCAATAGGTGCTTTAAAGGTGATGAATGAAGTAATGCTTGCTGGATTTTAGTGTACTGAGCTTTTCCTAACAGTGCCTGTTACAGTGATAACGCTCACATACATGGCAGAAAACCGCCTATTGTTAGAAAACTGTATAAGACAATGAAGATATGGATACACCACATGATGTGTTTAGCCACTTTCTCTTCCCTGAATAAGAAAACAGAGTTCAAGTTTACATGATGTTTTGTACGGTTTTGTTATGTGCATGTAAGTCACTGCAAAAGTAAAGGTAAAAAAAGTAATCAAAAAAATAAGCTAGTTGAAACATGTTAATTCGCAGTTTCCTTAATCTTCTCACACAACAGAAGGGAACAGACATGTAAGTGGATTAATAGATGTTTATTTAAGCAGAGAGTGGATGATAGAGGGAATGAGATGATGGAGTTAACTGCAGATGGATGATCAGATGGTGACTTAGCTGAAAGGAAATGAATGTTCTTGTAATGGCAGAAGGAGACCGGGAACTGGATATGGTGGAGGATGACAGAAGACAGAGGCGATGCTAAGGTGAGTAATTCCAGGTGAGTAACACAGGAGGGTGGTTAGCACATCTTGTAGAAAGGACAAGACTAGAAAATGACGTGAAGGTGATGATGGTAGATATATAGGGTGTGTTGATGAGGAAGTCCATGTGCAGTAAATTAGTGTACAGGGGATGAGGGCCAGGAGGGATTCTGGGAAATGTAGTGCTGACGGGTTACTGAGCTGGTTACTGTGACAGTACTTCCCCCTCCCGGAAAGTGCATCCTCACACAAAAATGGTCAAGTGGGGCGGAGCCAGCAACTTGGAGCAGTGGAGTCTCTGGACAGTGGAGGATAGGAACAGGGGACTCAGCGGGACTCTCCATCTTGGGACAAGACTCTGGAAGGGCGGCCATGATGGTACAAGACTCTGGTAGGGTAGCCATCTTGGGACAAGACACTGGAAGGGGTGGCCATGATGGGACAAGACTCTGGAAGGGCGGCCCTAACTGGACGAGACTCTGGAAGGACGGCTATCTTGGGACAAGACTCTGGAAGACCAGCCATGATGGGACAAGACTCTGGAAGGCCGGCCCTGACTGGACGAAACTCTGGAAGGACGGCTATCTTGGGACAAGACTCTGGAAGGGCGGCCATCTTGGGACAAGACTCTGGAAGGGCAGCCATGATGGGACAAGACTCTGGAAGGGTGGCTATCTTGGGACAAGACTCTGGAAGACCAGCCATGATGGGACAAGACTCTGGAAGGGAGGCCATCTTGGGACAAGACTCTGGAAGACCGACCCTGACTGGACGAGACTCTGGAAGGACGGCTATCTTGGGACAAGACTCTGGAAGGGCGGCCATCTTGGGACAAGACTCTGGAAGGGCAGCCATGATGGGACAAGACTCTGGAAGGGTGGCTATCTTGGGACAAGACTCTGGAAGACCAGCCATGATGGGACAAGACTCTGGAAGGGAGGCCATCTTGGGACAAGACTCTGGAAGGCCGACCCTGACTGGACGAGACTCTGGAAGGACGGCTATCTTGGGACAAGACTCTGGAAGGGCGGCCATCTTGGGACAAGACTCTGGAAGGGCAGCCATGATGGGACAAGACTCTGGAAGGGTGGCTATCTTGGAACAAGACACTGGAAGGGCGGCCATGATGGGACAAGACTCTGGAAGGGCGGCCCTAACTGGACGAGACTCTGGAAGGACGGCTATCTTGGGACAAGACTCTGGAAGACCAGCCATGATGGGACAAGACTCTGGAAGGGAGGCCATCTTGGGACAAGACTCTGGAAGGCCGGCCCTGACTGGACGAGACTCTGGAACGACGGCTATCTCGGGACAAGACTCTGGAAGGGCGGCCATCTTGGGACAAGACTCTGGAAGGGCAGCCATGATGGGACAAGACTCTGGAAGGGTGGCTATCTTGGGACAAGACTCTGGAAGACCAGCCATGATGGGACAAGACTCTGGAAGGGAGGCCATCTTGGGACAAGACTCTGGAAGGGTGGCCCTAACTGGACGAGACTCTGGAAGGACGGCTATCTTCGGACAAGACTCTGGAAGACCAGCCATGATGGGACAAGACTCTGGAAGGCCGGCCCTGACTGGACGAGACTCTGGAAGGACGGCTATCTTGGGACAAGACTCTGGAAGGGCGGCCATCTTGGGACAAGACTCTGGAAGGGCAGCCATGATGGGACAAGACTCTGGAAGGGTGGCTATCTTGGGACAAGACTCTGGAAAGACAGCCATGATGG